TCTCCACAACTGCCTGTAGCCTTACCCGACCCGTCGACCTCCTGTATGTGCGACTCCACACACGAACAGAGAGAGAGAGAGAGAGAGAGAGGGACGAGAGCTCTTACCTGGTCGCGCTCTTTTGCCCGAGCTCCTCCTTCGATTCACCTCCCCAGCCACGATCTCCCTTGCTTGCATGCCAAAAACCCAAAGCCTCCGATCCAAACCCGAGCTCCCTCCGACGACGTTCTCTTCCTGTTGAATTCGAAGTCACGGCATTTTGATCAGAAGCAATAACGTGAGTTCGCTGGCTGTGTAGGTGGCCTTCTCCCCTTTGCATGCTTGTTCGGCCAAATCCCATGAACCCGTCGAGCCGAGAGGGGGAGGAGGGAGTAATTTTTATTTTATTTTTATTGTTATTATTATTATTATTATTTAATACAATTAATTATAATAAATTATGTTAATTATAAGTAATTATGTTAATGTTTAATTAATTAAAATTAATTATAGTTAATTATAATTAATTAAGTTAATTATAATTTAATTATTTATTAATTTTAATTAATTATTGTTAATTACAATTAATTATAATTAATTAAATTTAATTATAGTTAATTAATTTAATTAAAATTAATTATTTTTATTTTTAATTAATATAATATATATGATAATTATTAAGTTAATTTTTAAATTAACTTTTTAATTATGACTAATTTTTATTTAATTATGATTAATTTAAATTAATTATAATTAAAATAATAATATAAATAATATTGCTGCTTTCTCCCCGATCTACGACTCCGCGCAGGTATAACTCTTAACCCTAAAACTCCGAGAACTCGTTTCAAAGCATTCGTCGAGACAAACGACCACCTATGCATGCTTTTAGTGTGGTGGGAGGGAGTGCATACCGACGCTTGCGACGAAGCGGAATCACCAAATTCCTTCTTCGAAGTTCGTATCGCCTTGGAAAACCCGCCTATGCACGCTTTTCTTAGCATGGTGGGAAGGATCCCGATGTGATGCGCACGACGAGGCGGGATACCCATAAGTACCCGCTTGCGGAAATAACTTCCTTGCTTACAAAATATTTTCAAAAAAATAAAAAAAATACTTTTTTACAAACAAAAAATACCCATGCACGCTTTATTTAAAGCGTGTGGAGTCGGAGCTGAGGATGGGATTCCGACCTTGAGAGATCGGATGGGGGCTGAGGAGGCGTCGGAGATGGAAGAGGGAGTCGGCTCGGGCGACTGGTGTGGCTTTGGTGGTGTGGAAGCAGCGTGAAAGAGCGAATGGAAGAAGTATCACTTCGACTCCTATTTAATGATGCAAAGAGGAGCAAGATAGAGGTAGGTTCACGGGATCTCTGCAGGATTTCCGATCGAGACATTGAGCGGCGCCGAGCTACAGGTATTTTGCGAGATTTCTTGCCGGATTTCGGGATTACGTGGATTTTTGTTTTGATTTCTTTTTCTTATCATTTTTTTGTTGTTGTTCATTATCTGATGGTCAACAGGAGTGTAATTTTAGTAGTAATAGACCTAGTTAAAGGATTATGACTTTGGACAATCAAGTCATTTATAAGAGTGCACGTTTTAGATATCATGGGTCTATTGTTCAGAGTAATGGTGAAATAAATGGGGATATTATTAGTAGAATTTAAGTTGGATGGTTGAAATGAAGGAATGCATCAGGCTTGTTGTGTGATAGAAAAGTCCCCCTCAAACTTTAGGAAAAATTCTATAAGATGGTGATAAGACCTGCAATGTTTTATGGTGTCGAATGTTGGCCATTGATACTAAGTTAAGTGTTGCAGAGATGAGGATGCTCATGTGGATGCGTGGCTTTACCCTTAGAGATAGGATATGAAATGAGCATATATGTGAAAAGGTTGGAGTAGTTCCAGTAGAAGATAAGATTAAAGAGAGTCACCTTATATGGTTTGGTCACATAAAACGACGACCTTCTGATGACCTTGTTAGGAAAGTAGATGTAGTAGATTTGACTTGTGTTAAAAAAGGTAGAGGTAGACCTAAAAAGACTTGGTTAGAAAAGATTAAAAATAATATTTCTTTATTAGATTTAAACGAGAATTTGAATTTTAATAGGACACTATGGAGAAAAAAGATTCATGTAGCCGACCGCTCGTAGTGGGACAAAGGCTCGATGTTGTTGTACTAGTTCTTGTTAAGCAAGAAAACAATAAATTTAACTTTTATTAATTTATATAATAGATTAGATAATAAGTAGGACGAAAGATGTATGTATAAGTTAACCAAGCAAAGAGATAGAAGATGTAAATATTTAGTTTAATTGAAGTATGTTAAGGATGAAGATTTAGAAGTGCTTTTCTTAGAAGAGCATATTCAACATATATGGATGAGATATTTTGATAATTTTTTCAGTGAAGGTTGTGAGCTTATGATTGACTTAAAAATAAAGATTTTTACTTTTTTCATCGTATTAGTAAAATAAAAAATTTAGGCGCTTTAAATGAAAAGAAGTGTGGATAAACAATATGACATGATGATATTTTAATATAAGTGTGAATAAATGTTTATGAGATCAAGAAATTTCTTGGCTTAGTGAGCCTTTTCATATCATTTTGAAGGCTAAAAGGTACCAAGCAAGTGAGTGGAGGAAGAGTGTGCTAGTTTCTATTTTTAAGAATAAATATGATGTGTAATGTTCTAAGAGAAATATAGAGAGAGCAAGGAGAACATATGATATTTATTGATTTAGAGGAATCATTTAAGAAAGTTCTAAGAGAAGTGCTCTTGAGAGTTCTAGAAAAGAAAGGAGTTAATAATACTTATATTCAAGCTATTAAGGATATGAATATAAGAGTTTTTACTTGTGTTCAAATGCAATGTAGTTTAACCAAGTATTTTTCTATTTTAGTAGGATTACATCAGGTTCAACTTTAAGCCCATATCTTTTTGTTTTAGTCATGGATGTTCTTACTCGACATTAGCTAGAGGATGTACCTTGCTGTATATTTTTGTTGATGATATTTTTCTTGTTGATAAGTCTAGAGAGGGAGTTGATGAAAACCTTCAATTATGGAGGTGAATTTTACAATCTAAAAGTTTTCGTAGTATGTTAAAACTAAATACATGGAGTGTAATGTTAGTAGCAATAGATCTAGCGGTGGAATTGTGACATCAAGTGATCTATTCATTAAAAAGAGTATATGTTTTAAATATTTTGATTCTATTGTTCCAAGCGATGGTGAAATAAATGGGGATGCTCTTTGTAGAATTCAAATTAGATGGTTGAAGTGAAGGAATGCATCAAGCTTGCTGTATGATAGAAAAGTACTCCTTAAACTTAAGAGAATTTTATAAGATAGTGACGAGACCTACAGTGCTTTATGATGTAGAATGTTAGCCAATAAAATGGAAGCATAAGATTAAATTAAGTGTTGCAAAGATTATGATGCTCTGTTTGATGAGCAGCTTTACACTAGAAGATAGAATGCAAATGAGTACATACAGGAAAATGTTGAAGTAGTGCCATTGGTAGATAGAATTGGAGAGAGTCGTGTTAGTGGCTTAGTGGCATAAAACGTCGGCCTTAGGGTAGATATATTAGATCCGACCTATGTTAAGAAAGATAGATGTAGATCTAAAAGACTTGGTTAGAAAATATTAAAAATAACTTTTTTTATTACATTTAAATGAGAATTTAACTCTTAATATGATATAATGGAGAGAAAAGATACATGTAGCCGACCACACGTAGTGGGATAAAAATTTGTTGTTGTGATTGTGCTAGATCTTGCTAAGTGCTGCTTAAGTTCAAACTTTTTTCTCAAATCACTTTGATCAGCTTATATTCATTTCCCTTTATAGACACATTCTTATTACTAATCTTTTGATAACAATTTTATGTATGTGTATAATGGATCAGTTTTCTACCCTTCAATGATATGATCAAGTCACTAAGTCCATTTTTTGTTATCTTATTACTCCAACCTTACTCTAATATTATTATTACTTAATTTATCTATATTAGTTTTATGCCACACATCTATTTTAGTATTCACTTTTCTCGCCACAATCCATTTTGATATCATCAATCTTTTTTCCTGCCCCAAACATATTGCTGATCTAATTGTGGTTTTATAAAAATTGCCTTATATATATATATATATTCTTTAGACTCCTCCATTTTAACCCTGCAATTTTAATTTTATAAGTTTTTTTCTCATTTATAACTTTTTTTATTCAATTTAATGTATAATATGTACCGTAAGGTGTTTTTCATTATTGATTTTTCAAGTTCCAAATGTCATATTGTGTAGGTTTAAACATCTTTGGGCAAAAAATGTTCGTAATTTTTTCCTAATTCCAGGTTGATTGGTTAACGGAGAAGATGCGAAGTAATAACTTTACTGTGTCTTCCATGCATGGTGATATGCCTCAGAAGGAAAGGGATGCAATTATGTTAGAGTTTAGGTCTGGTGCAACGCGTGTGTTAATTACAACAGATGTATGGGCACGGGGCATTGATGTTCAGCAGGCAAGTATAATATAATTTAATCTTACTAGATTGTGACTTTGTCAGGCTGTGGATTTATTGATTTGAAGTTTTATGTGAGATAACCTATCGATGGAGGGCAAGTCCGACTATTTCAACTGAGGTTTATATGCCTCATATATAGTATACATTGGTAATGGCATGTGCTAGCCTATTTATTGTCCTTTTTTTTTCCGTAAAAGCTCGAGATTGACATTGATTATTTTCAGTGGATGACTTAAACATTATCAATTAATAACATATGACGTTTAAGTGATACTTATAGGCATTAGATTTAGAGATCTTTACATTATTATAGAAATCAATATGGATGCAGAGGAGGATTTAACTATTAAAATTGATTAAAATGGAGAAATTAGTTAAGTTGTATCATCTGATAAAAGTAAATAAAAAATTATTAATTTTTGAAATGGCAATAAGCCAGTTATATGCTAATGGATGCCATTTTTTAGCCACTTGGGTGCTGAAATTAATCAATTTGAGTTGATTGTAGTTAACATAAAAATGTTAAGATGTACGAGTAGTATTAGAAATAAATTATTATGTTAGAACCTATTGATGAAGATATTTTAGAAGATAGATTTTACTTGATTTGCATATTTACAGCAGAAAGTAGAATATGCACCATGGGGGAAAAAGAATCAATATAAGAGGTAACAATTATAATGGAAATGACAAATTTTTGTAATGCCATTTTCAAGACTTAGGTTTTGTTTGGGATAATTTTCTTACTGTTTTATAAAGATGTTTTTAGATAATTTAATTTTTTAAAGCTATTGTGAAAAGTAGCTTTGTTAGTACAAAATGCATGTTTTTTAAAGCAGCGAAAAATCAATGGCCAAATAAAAATTGTTATTGCGGTTTGAAAAATAATGAAATAAGAAAGTTATCACAAATGAAGCCTTAATCAAAATGAATGGAGAAAAATTCATCTAAATAGTTTGGAGAATGCATTTGATGATGGAGTTTATATATTTGATGGACCATTTAATTTTCTCAAGTTCTTGTTATATGAATAAATTATTAAACATTTACATATTAAATTTTAAAAATCTCATGATAATATTTCATGTTATACTTCTTATTTAGGTTTCTCTTGTAATAAATTATGACCTTCCAAACAATCGTGAGCTGTATATACATCGCATTGGCCGTTCAGGGCGTTTTGGGCGCAAGGTATCAGCTTTTATCTTTTTTCCTCCGTTTTCTTTGTAGAGGGGTGGGGTGTTAACTGTTTGCATTGCAGAATCTGGGATATTTACTACAGTTTCATATTATAAGCTCTCTGTAAAGCGCTACTTCATCTGCGGGAAAGTAGATGATTTGTGTAAGTGCTTCCTAGACCAGTTCTATGTCAGTTTCTGAATGATGAATCATGTGTGCAGGGTGTTGCCATAAACTTTGTCCGTAAGGATGACATCAAGATACTGAGGGATATTGAGCAGTATTACAGTACTCAAATCGATGAAATGCCTATGAATGTAGCTGATCTTAATTGAAGATTTGTGGATTATGACGGAGTTATTGAATTTGATTCTCTGCGTGGAAAAGTTGCAATTGATACATTAACCTTGCATGTTTCGTAAGAGAATTTGCTTGCTGGCTGCATTAAAAAAACGGAATGTCTTGCCAAAGCTCTGGAAAAGTGTCGGTATTTTGTCGGTCTTTGTATATTTGTGGCCTTGTTATTTCTGTTGCTGATTGTTTCCATTAATGACTTTATGGAATTCTCTTTACTTTTTAGGGGTTGCATGAATTTCTCTCTCTTTCTCTCTCTTAATACTTGCAAACAATAATGGTGGTATGCGTAAGATAATTGTAAATTTTCTAAATTTTTATCTTCTTGCTTTTCAAGTCTTGAAAATGATGTAAATCCTTAAGATTTTTATATGAATGAAATTAATGAGCTGTCTTTTGATTGATATTCATGATTTGTCAAAAATATATTTAAATAAAGATTAACACCATCCGCTGGGACTTGGGACAGAGTGCACACCCTGAGAATATTTGGAATATAAAATTTATTATACTAAAATCTAAAGAGTTGGCTTTGCCACCATAGCCTATTAAATGATGAATAATTTTTAGTTATATCTAGTAATTTTGAGTTTGATTATTTTTTTTGTAGAGAATATTATTTTTTTAGTGTGCTTTATTTAAAAATTGTAGATAATTTAAATGACTTCAAGTTTGAGATGCATCTTCCAAACTTGAAAATAAAATTAAATCGATAATTGATGAGTTAAAAGAAATTTATTGTGATAGCGAATAAAGTCATCGTTTGATCTTCATAAGCTCATTTTTGAAGTAGGGTGAATCAGATAATTTGTTTAGATTTCTTTTGGCGTTTAGAGATTAATTTTCTTGGAGATAATGATGGCAGTGTTGCATTCTCTCAAAAGAACCCAGAATTCTGTGGTGTCATCGGAAGAACTATCTGCACCTGCAAGTTAGCAAAGCAAAAACAGAGGAGGAAAAGCTACAGACAGAATCATATCAGAGGTAATTCCTTTTCCCATCGTATTTACTGTAGCGAAGCATACATATAGTGAAGAGTAGGAAAAGAAGATGGGGACTTCAACGTTTCAGATTAGACCGTTAGAGATTAACGGGTATGATGAGAAGAACGTTTTGTACAGACTGAGCACACTCGTGGTAGCCGCATAAAGTTATTTTCAGCTCATATAATTACTTCTGCTCATTAGACCCCCGCAAGCTAACAGGTATCTCCGATAGTGTGAGCTTGGAACGGAGAAGAAGGAAGCGTGGAATAGATAAAGACTTTGTAAAGACATCTGCTATTTGATCAACAGTGTGCAGAAGAGAAACCTGAATTGTGCTATCTTTGATGCACTCACGAACGAAATGAGCATCAATGTCAATATGCTTCATTCAGGCATGAAAAATAGGATTGTGTGCAAGGGCGATAGCTGAAATATTGTCACAAAACAACATTATTGGTTGACTTACATTAAGCTGAAATTTATTTAGAAGTCTCCGAAGCCATATAATATCTGTAGCCGTGGTGGCAAGAGCACCATACTCAGCCTCCGTTGAGGAACGAGCTGTTGTTTTTTGCTTCTGAACTTGCCAAGCGATCAAGGTAGTGCCTAAGAATGCATAGTATCCTGTAGTCGATTTACGATCATCCGGATCTCCGACCCAGTCTGAGTCGGCGTAGGCAGATAGATGAAGTGAACCAGGAAGTATGGGTAAGCCGAATCTAATGGTGCCTTTAACATACCGAAAAAGGCGTTTGAGGAGTTTAAAGTGAACATCGAGCGGTTGATGCATATGTTGACATAAACGGTTCACGGTGAAGGCAATATCCGGTCTCGTAAGTGTTAAATATTGTAAGGATCCCACCAGATGGCAATAGAGTTGTGCTTGATCCGACGAGAGATCAATAGCCGAAGCAGTAGGAGATTTAGTTGGAGCAGGAGATGCAAGAGGTTTGCAATCGGTCATTCCTGGCCGATTTAAAATTTCAAAGGCATACTTTGATTGTGAAATATGTAAACCATCTGGAATTCTTTCAACCTGTATACCGAGAAGATAAGAAATAGGTTCCAGATTTTTCATATTAAACCGTGAAGATAAAGTAGAGAGCAGATTTTGAATGACTGATTCATCACTGCCTGTAATAAGAATATCATCTACATAAATTAGAATGTAGATAATAGTTGACTGGTTATGATAAATCAACAAAGACGTATCCGACGAACTATGTTTGAAGCCATAGGAGAGCAGATATGTGGAGAACGTCTCAAACCATTTTCTTGGAGACTGCTTGAGTCCATAAATAGATTTCTACAATAGGCATACATGGTCGGGATAGAGAGGATTCTTGAAGCCTGGGGGCTGAGACATGTAAACTGTATCACTTAGTGAACCATGTAGGAAAGCATTTGACACATCAAGCTATAGTATATTCCTTTTAAAATTGACGGCAAGTGTCAAGAGAATTCGGATGGTAGGTAACTTAGCAACTGGGCTAAATGTATCTCCGTAATCAATACCATAATGTTGGTGGCACCCTTGAGCAATAAGACGAGCTCGATGACGTGCCACAGTTCCATCCGAATTGAATTTGGTCTTATAAATTCACTTCGATCAAATAACATTTTGAAGCGGATGCGGTGGAACAAACCGCTAAGTACCTTGTTTATGTAATGCAGCAAATTCCAAGGACATTGCACGACGCCAAACAGCATCTTTAACAGCTTGTGTATAACAAGTCGGATCAGGTGATGTAACAGAGGTATGCATACTGATAATATGACAAGGCTTGAGCATGCCAGTGCGGAAACGGGTAAATATTGGATGTGTACTTTGAAGAGGTTGAAGAGTTGGAGAGGGAATTTTACTGGAGTTGGCTGAATTGGAAGCCGCAGTAGGAGAAATGGTGGGACAAGTTGTCGGTTGTGGTAGACTAGAGTCAGCAGTAGTTTTTGAGGCAAGTTGCCGAGAAGATGAAGATTGATGAGGTAACTGCATGGTAGTTGGAACAAGTAATTAATATAGGAGAAGTATAAATGGAAGATGTGGGAGGTGGAGTACATGTAGCTGTGGAATAAGGAAAAACATATTCAACAAACCTCACATGTCGAGAAATAAAAAATCTGCCAGACTCTATGCTAAAGCATATATAACCTTTGGTATTGGAAGGATATCCAAGGAAAACACAAGTGATTTGGGGTGAAATTTAGTATGAAATTGAGAAGGAAGAAACTGGTAGCATAGACACCCAAATGTTTTAAAACTATTATAATCCGGATTAGTTTTGTACAAAAGTTTGAATGGAGAAGTAGATTTCCGAGAGAGTGATGGCAAGCAATTTATAAGATAAATGGCAGTTTGGACAGCATGTGCCCAAAAATGGGTAGGTAAATTTGCTTCAAAGAGCAAAGCTCGAGCTGTTTCTGTGATATGTCTATGTTTTTGTTCTGCAATCCCATTCTGCTCAGGTGTAAGTGGGCAAGTTTGTTGATGAATAATACCAGATTATTTTAAAAATGATTGAAATTGGGTAGAATTATATTCGCCACCACCATCAGAACGTAAACATTTGATTTTAGCATTAAATTGGTTTTCCACAAGGCTTTTAAAATGATAAAAAGTGAGAGCAACTTCAGATTTAGCTTTCAAAGTATAAAGCCAGCAAAAACGAGAGAAGTCGTCTATGAAAATAACATAGTATTTAAAGCCTTGTAAAGATAACTTGGGAGAAGGTCCCCATACATCACTATGTATTAATTGAAGAGGACTACTAGTACAAGAAAGAGAAGGGGAAAAGGGGAGCTTGTGGCTTTTTGAAGTAGCACAAGCTTTACAATTGAGAGAAGAAAAAACAGCAGAACTAAGTGGAGAAATAACTTTTTAAAGCTTTAGTAAAACTTGTGAAGATGGATGTCCCAAGCGACTCTGCCATAGAGAAGTTGTGGAGGTAGTTGCGGTAAGAGCAAACTGAGGAGATTTAGATCTGATTTGAGTAGAGATTGGATAAAGACCTCGACGAGACTGGCCTTGAAGGAGAACTTGATTGTTCTTCTGATCCTTGATTGTGTATCCACGAGAATAAAAAAGAACAGAGCAAGCATTGTCAGCAGTAAGCTTATTAACAGAGAGAAGATTGCGATTGAGATTAGGAACAAGATGAAGTGAATTAAGATGAAGCTTACGAGTAGGGGTAGGTAACAAGCCTTTACCAGTACGTGTAATTGGTAGAAGATCACCATTGCTGATCATGACTTGTTGATTTCCATTGTAAGCTTGATGCTGGTGAAGTTGAGCGGAATCATTGGTGAGATGCGACGACGCACCCGTATCAAGAAGCCAATCAGAGGACATCGGTGTAGCATCAGATGCATTTGCCTGAACTGGAGGTTGAAATGAGAAATCACCCCGATACCAGCACTTAAAGGCTGAGTGACTCAGCTTTCTACAAATTTGGCATTCCATCGGAGGAGAAGAGACATTTTGTGCTCTGGAAGGTGAAGCCCGAACACGTCCTGAACGCGGAGAAAACCGCCCACGAGAGGAGCGACCAGGCCCTCGACCGCGTTGAGCATACAACGTAGGAATGGAATCGGACGATGATGTGATTGTTAAATCACGAACTTAGTCTGTAGCTAGATTCAGTTCCTCACTGCATAATACAGAATAAAAATCATCTAAACTTATGGGGTTTAGATTAGAGCGAATGAATGTTTTGAACACTTGGTACGTGGGAGGTAATCCATTAATTGTATACATAATGATAAGTACTGTATCATCAATTTATCCTTCATGGAAACATGATGTAGCTCATTTTTGAGCTGTAAGATCCTTAAACGGTTGGTCGATTGCAGTCGTCGTTCAATAGTTGTCCAGATATCGGAACATGAATCCAGATTTAAAACATAGGGAAGAAATGTAGTAGAAATAGTCGAGTAGAGAACAACAACAAGATTCTAATCAACTAACAGCCATGTAGCATATTTTGGATTGGCTTGAAGAT